GATACCTCATTCTCTTCCTTTCCCTCCTCCATTTCTTCCTTCTCCTCCTCTAGAGGTGGACAATGTGCCCACATGAAGTGACTGCCAAGCCTATGGCTTGCCAGGCACCCTTTGTTTGTAGGGGTTGGGACAGGGTTGAGAATTTTTCATGTGACACACATGTGGACTACAGGCGACACAGTAGTATGCTGTGATACAAAATTTGGAAAGCTCTGTTCTGGGCTAATTAATGCTTTCTAACTCATACTGACTGCTCCAACCGATGGGCATTCCTGCAAACTCCATAGCTGCCTATCAGAGCATGTGGAAAATGGGATGTTTCTTCTCACCAGCTGGAAAATCCACACATCATGCTATATCCATCTTTTTGTAATGCTTTGGTGGCATTTCTAGATCAGAAACAGGATCTCTGAAGAATATATAGGCAGCTGTTTTGTCACAGCTGGTTTGCTTTTTATAATAAAAGATGGAGATTTTCTTGTAGTCCATCCAATATCACCCACTTTCAGGTTTTCCAAGATCATAACTGGCTTCTAAACAGTCTGCCTCTCTTTCCAGTGTCCTCAAAGTATTCTAATTTCACATTGATTGTATGGGGCTTCCATGGTCAAGAACTAGTACAGATGGAAGAATATGCCCTAAACGTGACTGTTGGAATAGTCAGAAGGGATCAACATACAAATGTAACAAGATGGAAAAAAAATAATGAAGCAGTATAGAACTGAAATGGTAGAAAGTGTTGTATCATTTCATATATTTTTGCAAGCTCTTGAAGTGCAAAGCTTGGAGCAATTACATTATTGAATCCAGTGACAATACTGACTTAAGGCTTAGGAGAATGGTGATCCAAAAAGGCATTTTTCTAATCTCAAGCATAAAGGTTACATGGGAGGCCCCTTCTACCATTCAAACTGTTGAAGTCTACTCTCACCACATTTTGTTATTTATGTAGCCTATTTGATTATCACTTCACCATCTTTTGCTGAGTTAATCCTTGACAGGGTTCAGTGCATTGGTTGCTCAGAGTATGTAGTCTGGTAAGTAGCTCCACAGCCTTCTGTAAGAAGAAGGAAAAATCAGGAGGAGGAATATGTTTCTAAAATGGTCCTGTGTGTGTTTCTCTGAGTGGCTGCCATCAGGAAGCGTTTTTGCCATTAAGGCTAAGAGAAGCTCCCATGTAGTACACCGCTTCCAAGCACTGCTTGCTCATCACTCCAGATAAAAATAAAGTGCAGCAACCCAGTTATGTCTTAACAGTGAAGCAGCCCACTCTACTCCAAATGCAGGTGTGTTTCCAGAAAAAGCAACCAACATGATGTAGTGGTTTGAAACTGAACTGTGACTCTGAAGGCCAGGATTCAAGTCCTCACTTTGCCATGGAAACCCATTGGGTGATCTTGGGAAAGTTACAGTCTCTCGGACTCAAAGGAACACAAAGGCAAACCCCCTTCTAAACAAATTTTGCAAAAAAAAAAAATCCATGATAGAATCATTATGGGTCAGATGTGATTTGAAGGCACACAATCACAAGATAAATACTGTGTTAACATTTAATTTCTAAGGAAAAATGACCAAGCTAGAAACATGCATGAACATGATACTTGCCTGCTGGAATTACATCTAAACTCATGAGGGTTTTTTGGTTGTTGTTACGAAATTAGGAGGGAACCCTAAACATGCCCAAAGCTACAATTGTCACTCATAAATGAACAACATGATCTCTTCTCCTTCATATATTTGTTGCATTTCTGGTATATCTTCTAAATGAGCTTTTCCTCTAAATGGGCTCAAGACAGTGTACATGGTTCCTTCGTCCACTTTAGCTTCACAACAATCTTATGAGGTAGGTTGGCTATTAACTCCATCAAGTAGGCTGATTACTTAAAAATCAAACAAATAATCTTCTTTAAATAAGAAACAAATACCGATCAATACAGTTACAAACAGCAGCATATTATCACATCTTTTATATTTGTATGTAAAGGAACAAAAGTGAATGTTCTTCCATTCAGATGACGAGGCAAATACTCCTTTCTCTCGATCGATAGATTGATAACAACTCAATTGGTTCAACAATATTGAGCCGCAGTGACACACAGGTAATAAATTCATTATTATCATTGTTGTCGTTGTTGTTGTTATATTATAGTAAAATACTTTCTTTAGAACAGTGACTCCCAACCTTTTTTAACCAGGGACCACTCTGACCAGGGACCGCTTGACGAGGGACCACTCTCCAACATTAGTACCAAAAGGGCTACTAATCCGTTTTTGGTCAACTTTAGATTTGGTTTGGCTATTTGGGGTGCTGATTCAGAAAATTGCATTGGATAGACTACATCAGAACATATGCCATCTATTAGTTGCCATCGGCTCGCCCACAGAAAACTGTATTTAATAATCTAGAGCTGATGTGGTAGTAGTAATCTTTCGTGGGAAGTCAGCCTCTCCCCTCCCAACATCCCTGCTGCCTCGGCACTATAAGAGGGTTTCGTGAGACCAGTCATTCTTGTTGCCACATGGTTCAAGGCAAGAGTGTAGTAAGGGTGAGTCTACAACCCTTATTTTCATTCTTGTGGACCACTGGTGATGCATGGATGCAGGGTGGGAACCACTGCTCTAGAAGTTATAGGATTATTATTTACATCAGAGGAAAACTCTGCTCAACCCAATTTATGTAAGTCATCAATGGACACAACATGTTATCAAGTATAAGTCAAAAGCTACCTATCCCAAAGGGGTTTCCAAGAAGAGGGACAAACTAAACAGTTTAATTTCTCTTATGCTTTAATGTGGACATAGTCTAAAAATGCAAATAGCACCTGTTAATGATTGAAGTAAATTGCGTGAGGAAGTTTAAATTATTTCTTCTCTTACTGCAGCCAAAATGAACAGCATTTCCCTCAGTTTGTTTGCATGGGGAGAAAAGCCCCTTTGCCTGGTGAGATACAGTCAAATAGGACATTTGTAGTGAAGATGAGAGGTTATCATAGTGGAATTTGATTTTTTGTTTAGTTGCTTTGCTGAAAGGAGCAAGAAGAAAGAATATATTTCTGAAATGTTAGAAAGTAGGAGATGGAATCAAGCTGTCCTCCAGTTGTCAAATCATAACTCTTAAAATTCCTCGCCATTGATTATGAAAGTGTGTGATGCTGGGAGTTGCAGTGGAAGGGACAAGCAGCATGAGCTGGTGGCAGACAAGCCACGGGAGCAGCAAAGAGGGATCAAAGAGAAAACCAAAGCTTCATGCCTGTCCAAGGGAGTGGCTGGAAATGTTGTAGCAGCTAAGAGTAGAAAAAATAACAATAAATGGGAGGAACTATTGAGTCCCTGCACAACAAAAATCTAAACATTTACAATACTATACAGGAATCCCCAAGTCAGGAACAATATAGGTTCTGTTATAAATTAAACTAGTTGTAAGTCAGAACAGGTACATTTTTAAGTATAACTCCAGATATAGATATAGATATAAGCTTTGGATAGCATAGGGAGGGGTTTAACACCCCTGTGGTTCTTTTTGTTTGATTTTTGTTTTGTTAATTTTTTTGGCTGTCTGTGCCACTGTTGAGAAGATTTCACTTCACTTTCTGTCCCTGTGAAAAATTTGTAGAAACAAGGATTGGTGACAGTTTCTCCCCATAGCAATAACTCTTTCAGGAGTGAATTTCCCTTCTGAGGGGTAGATTTCTCTCAACTCCTGTTGCCTCACCCCCATTCTTAACTGTGAGTCATTTGTAAGTCAGATGTTTGTAACTCGGGGCCTGCCTATACATGCATCTGTTTTATCAATTCACTGGGAGCAGACTGGGAATGAAAGAGAGCAGAGAGAATTTGATGTCAACCGCAGTACATAATTAGAACAATAGGACAATGAGGCCATGCCCCAGAGCTGTGAGGTAGCATTAGCTCGGCTGAATCAATGTTCATCGACTGCACACCATAATCCAAATCCTCAGTTTCTGCTAAGAAGCATTCCATTTTTGAAGATTGTGTCTGTGGTCATGACAACTTGGATTCTGCTTCCATGGAAAATAAGAGTTCCTCGTAGCTTTGCAAGGGAACAGATTTCAATACACACAATGTGCCCCCTGGTACAACTGCAGCTGTGAAAATCCCTGCTCTCCCAATTACTACCAGGATGCTATGCTGATCTTTATGCATTCAGAAAGCCACAAGCTCACACTTAGGAGACAAATACCCTGAAAATGCCCTTAGAAGACCAGAATATTGGTAGTTCATTGTATTACATTTTATTTTACAGTATTTGAAAAGCTCTTTTACAGGTACTTCAAATGGGAGAGCTGCAATACTGACCAAAAAAACGCATACCTACAAATTGAATACATGAGTCTTAATATCTACTTTGTACTGAATCATTAATATCCAAAGGAGTATGTCATGTAGTGCAGTGGGTGTACGGCTATGCAAAATGCACAGACAGAGGAGAGACAAGAGATGATCCACGTAAACATTGTGTCCATGGGTATATAACAGGGGCTCTGCAAACATGTCTGCTATTGTAACATTCTAGACAGCAATATGCTTAATAATACATATTATTTAATACAATACATGCCTTCAAAAAGCGTGTATTCTGTGCGTGTAAACTTCAACCAAAAAAAATCTAGATACATGAAAAAATAGGGGGAAACTAATCCAAAAATAAATCATTATTTCAAATAGACACAGAATTTGTGTGAACTTTGACTTAGTAGTAGTAGTATTTTACATTCCCCTCTTCTTTGTACATTATTTTCATTACACTAACAATTGCTTGTTGCTACTTTACTGTTGCGGCTATGTAAGCCAAAACGACTTTCAAAGGGGCAAAGCAATACCTCAAACAATTTACCTCACTGGTGAAGTCAATATCTGTACGGATTGCATCACAAAATGAATTTAAAGTAGCTACCTATACTCCTGCGGCACAAAGCAGCTGCACTAGAGTTGTTCTAACACACCGAGAAAAATCTCAGTCTAGATTTCAATCACTTAAATTGTTCGGCATAATATTTATTTGCTGAAACCTGATCTATATTAACTTTTCCAGAAGCTAAACAGAGACGAGTTGCAGTGATTCAGGCACCTGTCAACATATACATCGTCTGCACCACCACAAGGTAAAGACAACTATGCAGGTATAGGTTGGTTTGTTGGTTGTCTTGACCAGGTTAGTGCACTTTGGGGATTCCTTCATTATTTGTAAGGGGCCCACCCTCCTCTGTAGACATCGGCACATCCTTGTGCCATTCCCAGCTCTGCTACAGCCTTTCCACATGGTTTCACATCTCCTGCCATAGTACAAGGAACTGGAATATAAAAGCACTCTGACAAAGGCAACAGGGATAACAGTTAAATTTCCACCTAGCGATAAAGGTTTGACATGTAAGGGCAGTGGCACTATGGCAAATTCAGCATTTTATTCCCCACCCTCCTCACAGACACAGACTTTTTTCAGTTCTCATCATTGACTGAAAATAATCACCACACTTTCTACCACAGACAATTTCTGCAACAAGGTATAACCGGTGTAGATCACTAATTTTGAGACCAGAGCTCCTTAACCAAGCTAAATTGCAAACAGCTGTTTTTTGGTTGTATTTAGAGATCTGCTGCCATCCTTAACAAGCAATTTCTTGCAGCCAGTTATTTACTATATGATATATGTGAACATTTTTTCATCTTATTACTAAGGTTCAGGATGAGAATGGCAATAGACTGTCACTTAAGGGATCGGGTCTCCAAGATTGGAAGGACTTGTTATTCTCAAGTCTGATGTACTCCTTTCCAAAGCAACAAATGGTATGTAGACACATTGGCTCTGAACAAAGCTGGAAACAAAAATCCAAAAGAAGTGGCAAAGAAATCTGGTTATTCCCTCTAGAGTGACCATCCAGAGAAGAAATATAATCTGAAATAAGGCAAAAATGAAGAAAAAACCACAACCAAAGGCATTTCAATCCATGCAAAACTCAGACTAATACCTTCCTGGCACAGATGTCCTGAGATTTATGGTGAACGGACTCTATCTGTATTTATCATGAGTTTTAACTTAAAGCTTTATACACTCAAAAAAGGTTTGGTTGATCATGGACCCATATTAAAAAGGGAGGCAATAAAACATAGGAGAACAGGGGTAGGGGGCAAGAGAAGGAACAAACCTTGCTTTGAGACCTCCATCCTTCTCAATGGCCCAAAAGACCATGTGTCCAATAAAATGTAAAACACAGCATATGTTTTGTGTAGTCTAAAAATCTGTTGTGATAACTTATTGCAAATTGCACTTGGCAGTTCACCACACCAATGGAAAACTGGCCCCCTGTTGGTTCACACAGTCTCTTAACCTTGATTTGCAGTCACCAATAAAAGGACCTAGAAAGAAAGTTTGCAGCTGTGCTGAGCCAGCTGGCTGCACCTTCTGGATGCGACCCAACGCGGGACACGGCTTTGTCCTGCTCTTTGGAAGGGCTTTCGTCTTCTGGCAAATACTCGGGGAGGTCGGTGTTCTGTTCCACTTCTACCGCCGTTTCTTGGAAGGGGACCAGCATCTGTTTATAGAAATATGGGACACCCATTTATCAGGAGAAAGGACGGTTTATAAAGAGATTTTCAAAGCTGGCTACCGCAAGGGCTGCTTAAGACGCCATCCAAACCTGCTCAGAATTTTAACAGTCTAAAAATTCAGGCCATTTGGAATGATGCATGAGATAAAACAACTTTCTAGATTCACTTCTAGATTCTTCATTCTGCCAAATCAACCAGAAGATGCTTCATTTTATAGGATTTCACTTTTTATATTAAGTAAAAACTTCAGGTAAACTGTCCTATTAATTATATAAGCAGTTCCCAAATTACATACAAGATAGGTCTTATAGCTTTGTTCTTAAGTTGGATTTGTATGTAAGTCAGAACAGGTACATTTTAAGTGTAATTCAGCCATACAAACACACACACACACACACACACACACACACAGGTTTACCCTGACATTGAGCTATTCCATTGGTCCGTTCACTATTCCTTATTCTCTTGTTGAACTAAAATAAAATGCTATAACCACGTTTTTACTTTCTTCCTGATGGTCAGTAGGAAGGGGGCTGCTCTAATTTTGCTGGGGAGGGAATTCCATAGCCAAGAGGCCACCGCAAAAGGAGGTGGAATCAAGAGCAGGGCCTCCCTAGAAGATCTTAACCTCCATGGTGGATCATAGAGGGAGATAAGTTTGAACAGGTAGGGCTTTATAAGCTAAAGCCGGTGCTTTTAGTTGTGCTCAGTAGCAGATTGGCAGCTAGTGGAGCTGGCATAACAGAGGGGTTGTATGCTCCTTGTATGCTGCCCTAGTGAGAAATCTGGCTGCCAACCCTTGAACCACTTGAAGCTTCCGAACAGTCTTCAAAGGCAAACCCACATAGAGTGTGTTGCAGTAGTCTACCTTTCATGTAAGAAGAGCGTGGACCACCAAGGCCAAGTTTGGCTTCTCAAGGTACAGGCGCAACTGGTGAACAAGTTTTAATTAGAAGGTGGCATTGTAATTCAACAGTATTGGGATGATCAGACTCCCCAGCCCTAAATTAGAATATCCCCTCTCCTCATGAGACTTTACTAACTGGAGGAATTGGGTGATTGATGGGACCAACAAATTAATAGTTTTCATTCTGTTTTTATTGCCAATGCTAATAAGACCCCGTTTTTTCAGTTCTCTCACCTCTTCGCCACTTTCACCTTTTACAACTTGCTGGGCTTTCATTACTTTGGTAGATGCTATTGCCGTTGCCAGTGCCTACAGAAAGATCAAAGATCAAGTCAGTTAAAAAGGCTCTGTCTCATACTGAGGACTGTGCCCACAAGCTGTACCAAGTTTCTTACCTCTGCTTTCAAATCTGATCTGATCCGGACTACACATCTTTGAACGGCCATCTGAAACGTGAAACTGATGACCCCCTTGATTTTCAGCAAGGCCTCTTCACACAGGTTTCTCCGAGACTAAAATATTTTTAAAAAATGATTTTTTAAAAAAATGTAGGTATGAATAATTGCAGGTACGAAAAACACATGTATATGAAAGACTATCTACTCTAAGACAACACAGCTATAAACAAAATGAAGCAGAATGGTCTATTTTAGCGGAGGAGGAAGAGGAAGTATTGCTATGAATTTAGCTATGGAGAATTTAAAAATAACATTTCTGCTTACGTTCTGAAGACCAACCAGGATGGAATCAACTGTGAATAATGAAGGGAAAGTGCTGAAAAGCAAAGAAAGCTTTTCTCCGTATGATCAGCTAAACAGTCCCCTGTGGTTAAGTTCTGACTGACTGAAATGCTCATTGATGAGCAGTTAGTGTTTAAGTTGCTATTTATCAGACACCTTGCATCCATACTGACTGAATGCATCAAAGCAGCTGTTGTATCCTTCAGCTATCTCATCTGTGGCAGTTCATGGACATCACTGCACTGCACAAACTGAACTCTGATTCCAAAAGAAAATGTCTGTTCACAAACACACAGGCAAATGTTATCTTTAAAGCAAGTGACAGTGCCTACTGTGCAACAACACTACATTGACCTGTGCTGGTTGCACCTGCTCTGCGTTATCCCAGCATGCTTTAATGCATTCACGATGCGGCAAGACAATATAGCAGTATGTTGTCTTGGAAAGCTAGCAAAAGTATTTTTTTGATTTATATCAAAGCCTTTTTTCCCAGGGCCGGGACTCAAGGTGGCTCACCACAAGATTCAATCAGATGCAGATAAACAAGCAGAGAGGTTATTAAAGAAATTATAGTGCTAAAATACAAAAAGCCCTTTGTCAGAAGCCAATCAATTACCAAAAACCAACATGAACTAAATGGTCTTTGTCTCCCAAAAGAACGCCAACTAGGAGATATCCAGGAAGGGAGTCCCAGGGCCACCCTCGCACTTTCCATAGCCTATCTTAGAGAGAAGCAGAATCAAAAGTAGAATCTCTCCCAAAGACTTCAGAGCCCAAACAGACTTCTATCTAAGAATAAATCCTTTAGGTAGCCCATACTCCACAGTGGGCAACTACGCAGGGGCCAGGGGTCAATTTTTCTCTGAGACCACCTGGAATACCATCTCCAACCCCAGATTTCTTTGATGTTGAACACTGCAGAGGAATTGTCACCCCTATGGACTAATAATAATAATAATAATAATAATAATAATAATAATAATAACAACGACAACGACAACGACAACAATAACAACGGCAATAATAATAATAACAACAACAACAACAACAACAACGGCAATAATAACAACCTTATTTATATCCCGCCACCATCTCCTTGAAGGGACTCGAGGCAGCTTACAAAGGCACTCCAGGGTGCAACATATAACATAAAACGGTACGTAAGTATAAAACAATATCACATAAAATTATAAAATTATAACAACATATAGAACATAAAATAAAATGGCTCAATTTTAAAAACTCAGGACATCTGTGGATAAAACTAGCTGCCATCAGTTAAACAACTAAAGTTAAACAACTAAAGTACCAGAGTATCAACCTCATATGGGCCCATTACAGCCTACTTGAGGTCAAAAGCCTGTTTAAACATCCATGTTTTTAGATTGGATCGGAAAGATTGAAGGGTGGGGACTAACCTAATCTCTTTTGGGAGGGTATTCCAGAGCTGGAGGGCCACCACAGAGAGGGGTCTCTCTCTCATCCCCACCAATCACGCTTGAGGCAGTGGTGGGACCGAGAGGAGGACCTCCTCTGCTGATCTTTAGTGGGGGGTTCAAACAAGCAAAAATGCTTTCCAGGGGAACTGCACACAGCCCCAGGATTGCACTTGGCCCAACCTTTTAGTACACCTGAATTACAGACATTCTGAGAATTTTGCACAGCATCATCATGCCCAGATTGTTGAGAGTTACTTCAATACAGCCAGGTTTAGGGTTTGCTATTTACAGAAGCCCTAAATCCTAATGGGCTTAAAATATCACAGCTTGCTTGATTTCAGGTCAATCACAAGTTCTTCTCAACCAGCGCTAAGTTCTTAACTTTGTATGCCGACAAACTTAAACACCCTCTCTATAATTCAAAATAAGGGCGAAGGAAGTGCACTGGCTCAAAGACAGTTGGCCCCTGTGGTGTATGAATGACCTGCATGACCTGTGTTTGGAAACTACAGATACACAACGGATCTGTGGTTTGTTATGAAGCAGAAGCCTCTTATCTCATCATTCTCCATCAGGGAATCACACTTAATTTTTGTTCATTTCTAGTGGAAAGCCACACTTTTTTGCTACATTTGATCAGCCCAAGAGCTCTGCTTACAAGTAACACCCCAAATCATTTGCATAATCATCATCATCTTTATTTGTACCCCGCCACCATCTCCCCAAAAGGACTTGGGGCAGCTTACACAAGCACTCCAAGTGCCACATGCAGACAACAATACATAAGTATGAATACAATGACAGAAGTATAATCAACAGCACATAAAAATCTCATTAATGAAATTATAAAAAATTGAAAATTACAAAATTCCTAAAATACAGTGAACTAATGTTTCCTGTATATGTTGAGGCAGAACTCGATATTCTGTTTTGTAGCTTTCTGTCTTCTTAACTATAAGTTAGGCCATTAAATCTTTATTTTATTTATTTATTTAAAGTATTTATATATCGCCTTTCTCACCCTTTCTCACCCCTGGGGACAGGCCCGTAGCCAGGATTTCATTTCGGGGGGGGGGGGGGGGGGTTTTTTTCAGGGGGGTCGGGGGGGCTGATTTTGATTTGGGAGGGCTGAGTCTGAGTGAAAGAGGGTCTACCTAGCAAACCTTTTGTATCATTACCCCAATACCCCCATGCATATGGGATATATTGAGTATGGTGATCAGATCATGATATGAATAAACATAACAGTTTAAATAATGCACCAGTAAGGCCTTTTCGTGAACCACCCTGAGAATTTTGGGGGGGGGGGGCTGAAGCCCCCCCCCCCCCCCCCCCGCGGCTACATGCCTGCCTGGGGAGACTCTTTAGGAGGTCTAATTATTATTTCAGGAAACGCAATAGAGAAAACAAATCCTACTTCATGAGTTTCAAACACCTCAAATATTCCTCTAAACATGTGCATCACTTTCCCCTTTACCATCCTGCTTTGATAATTACTGCTCTGGTTACTATTATTAACCACAATAATTATTTTATTAACATGCAGTAGACTTTCCATTAACAGGCACCCATGAGGATTGTTAGATGCCAGAGAAATGTAGTTTTGGTTGCTTGAGAGTTACAAATAGGCCCAACTAATTCAGTACCCCATACTATACCATACCATATACTCTGTATTAACTTATTAATAATATTGAAATCCAGTAATTAAAAGCAAACTAAGACAATCCTAACTTAATATAACAGTTTTACTGTATTATAAAAATAGCTTTGTCTCTTTACTATCTCTTTTGGGATTTTTTTGTCCATTGGTTGAGATTTCTAGCTGCTCCAGTTCCAGTTAACTGTGAGTCTATTGCACCACATTGTTCTCATCACCGGTACTCAGAGTACCTTATAAAATGCTATTTTACATTTGAGTTGTTTATCTTCACATTTGAAGGGGATAGAGACATAGGATCCTCACAAACATGGAAAAATTGTGGCTCTCTAAACCCCTGACTGCAACCCTGCTACTTGTTCCTCCACAAGGCAGAAGCAGGCGGCTGGCCTGCTTCCCAAAGTCAACACCAAGAAGTGATAGCCAAGGTTTGCTAAGCCTTTCGCTCCCCACTTCCCTGTCAAGAGAAGTCCACCTCTCCCCCACAACCACCACTCTTTTCCCCTGCCCCACAAAGCTCCACATTGCTTATGGTGAGGGTAGCTTAGACTCCCTATTCAACAAGAACTAAAGAAGCACTTTAGTTTTCTTTACATTTTCTAGTCTATGCACATCACTTATTATTTTCCTACAGAAGGCTGGAAAACTAAAAAAAAAATCCCATTCAATTATTGATGGCAAACTCACAATCAATTCCACAAAAGTGCAAAAGTGGAGGACTAACTGTACATTAAGAATAATAATTCAAATGTAATTTTAATATAAGATGTTTAACAATAATACAATATCACAATTACATGTTTTCCTCTTCCTTCCAAACAAACCCATCCCCATCCTTTCCCTAATTCATACTATACTGTAAAAACACGGCTTTGTCACATATCTTACAACTGCATTATTCAATCTCTTCTGCTGCATATTATCATAATGGTATGTATCTGGCTTCAGACTGTGATTTTGGAGCACGTGACTTTAAATGTTAGTATTTAAATGTTTTAATTCTCTGTTTTAAATTGTCTAAATCAGGGGTTCTCAGATCTTTTAAATAGAGGGCCAGGTCACAGTCCCTCAAACTGCTGAAGGGCCAGATTATAATTTGAAAAAAAAACATGAATGAATTCCTATACACACTGCACATATCTTATTTGTAGAGCAAAAAACACTTAAAAACGATACAATAATTAAAATGAAGAACAATTTTAACAAATATAAACTTATTAGTATTTCAATGGGAAGTTTGGGCCTGCTTTGGCTGATGAGATAGGGTTGTTGTTGTTGTTGTTGTTGTTCTTGAGTGCTTTCAAGTAGTTTTAGACTTAGGTTGACCCTGAGTGAGGGCCGGGTAAATGACCTTGGAGGGCCGTATCCAGCCCTCGGGCCTTAGTTTGAGGACCCCTGGTCTAAATGTTACTTATGTTTTACGTTTAACATGATCTTAATGGTTTTAATATATAGTTACATGTCATTTAGTTATATGCTTTGTTTGTATGTATGATGGTGTTGAATTTTGCCATTATTTGAAGCACACCTCTTTGAGTGGTATATAAATATAGTAAATAAATAATAAATAAATATCTAGTTGTTGATCCGGTATTTCATTTGATCACTTGATGGCTTAAACTGGTCTTTATTTTGGCACATATGACTAACAAATGGTGTCATCAAGTAGTCTTCTTTTAATCTTCCTTTTCCAACGTTTAATTTATAAGTTAACTTCTCTGATAAGGGTTTATCTTGTTTAGCCAATTTTCGACTGATGAATTCCCTAATTTTTTTACCACGTTTTGACTATTTCTAGCCTTGTTGCACATAATGTAAGTGATATGAGGTCTCTATTTGACAAATCCTTATTCCCACTGTAAGAGATCATTAGTAAAGCCCCTCTAAAATACAATGTTCGACTTCACGGTAAAGAGGTATGCTGGTGTGCCACTGTCCATTAAGGAAGTCCTTTAAATTAAGCACGTCTTCATGTCTTACTCTAGACTTTACCTCAAAATGAAGGAGTGAAATTGCAAGGATCTGCATTAGCTGTGTTTACGAGACAGCCCTAAGATGTGCTGACCTTAGAACATTTACAGCGATAATGTGTCTTTATTTAAACTGACAGGCAAAAGATAAATAGGCAGCATTTTCCTGGCTTTTAGAAAAGCTTAAAAGACAGTGATGGGCAAACAAATGAACTACCTAGTCAGTAAACATAATAAGCACAAGACTGCTGGAAGTGATTAGACCTGGCTTAAAGGAACATGGGATGGAAGAAAGAGAGACAGAACAAGGAACAAAGGTAACTCTGGAAGAGAAGAGATGTGCATATGCTCATTATTTATTAGATTAACAACCAATGACTTTATTAGAGAAGATGGTATACTAACAAACTTTCTTTTAACAGGATTACTTGGCAAAATGTATTACTGTAAAAGTAGATTAGGTCTGATAATTGAAAATGGCTACAAAACTGAAACACAGAGACCTAAGGGTACTTGTGGATAACATGCTCAAACAGTCTTACATGCTGCTTGGCAGCCATAAAAAGGTAAACATGGCCCTGGGGTGTTATCTACAGGGGAATGGGGATAAATTTATAGAAGTTATTCTGACAATGCATAAAGACTCCACTGAGACCTCATTATCACAATGGTTGTGCCAAAGAAATCTCAGATCTAAATTCAGTGCAAAAAACTCTATAAGAATGGCCTAAAATTATACCTGATGAAAAATACTTCTTGGCTTGTGTTACACGAATATGATGTGAAATGTGCAGACTTTGCAGTAGTCCACTGTAATGTACCATTTGTCATATTTTAAAAAGTTGTTGTGATGGAAAAAATAAATACATACTCAAAATCTGCATAAAAATGGATTTAAACTGTGCTACTCTCATTTCTGATAATTACAAAAAGTTGAATTTATTGGCTTGTGTTATCTGGCAGGTTTTGTCATTCTGAAAGGAAAAATTAGTGAGGGAAAATTACTTTTGGATTACAGGCAGTCTCCAAGTTACAAACAAGATAGGTTCTGTATTTTTATTATTAAGTTGAAATTGTATATAAGTCAAAACAGATATATTTTTAAGGGTAACTCCAGCAATATATATAAAGAGAGAGAGAGAGCTTTGGATAGCATAGGGAAGGGTTAACACCCCTGCTGTATTTGTTTTGCTGTCTGTGTTCCTGTTCAGAAGATTTCACCTCACTCACTGTCCCTGTGATAATTGGATTCTGAAAAATTTGGCTTGGTGATATCAAGGATTGCTGATAAAGCTTCAGTGGAGACACCTTTTTCCTATGACAACTCTTCCAGATGAGAATTTTCCTTCCGAGCAGTAGATTTCTCTCACTTCCTGTTGTCTCACCCCCTTTTCTTAACTATGAGTTGTTTGCAAATTGGATGTTTGTAACTTGGGGACTATCTGTACTTGGTTGTAGTCAGGAAGATACATCAGTTCCAGAATGGATTACTATTTGTTATGAAGTTGAAAAGCAAACCAAAAAAATAAACAAAATCACACACTTTCCATACAGATGAAGGAATTTAGTGTACTAAAATATGTAGACAAAGAGCAATGTTCTTTCAAAATTAATTACCTAGGAAAATTTTTAACTGTTTGTTAGTAATTAAAAACAACTCCTACATGTTATTTGTAAATCAGCCTTAATACACATTGCTATTTTTATGCACTCAGTCTGTAAGATTCTTAATTACACAGTAAAGATATGCTTGAGAAAACAGTTGCCTCTCCCACAGCATCTATTCCCTACACGGGTTATAAATCAAAAAGTGCTTAGAAATTTCTTACCGAATCATCAAGGCCATCTATGTGTAAAACTACTGTTTTAGCCCGTTTATTTGTACTTCCGAGAAAAAACTGAGCTTTCCGACGCCGAGAATTCATCTCGTTTACATTGTCCATGTCAGACATGCTGGAAGACTGAAGAATATCATAGATCTCAGAAGCTAACAGCTTTGTCTCCCCTGGTGTTGTGGTCCTAGGGGGTAAAAAATAATCAAAATTGGTATCAATTGTTATTTTTCATTATATTTCCTTTTACAAATATAGACCATGAGGACCTTCATGATTTCCACTGGTATACTGATTCTTTTTTATAATCTCTAAAACAGAGTTATTGAAATTAGGAAATATTGCTAGCAAACATCAATGCCTTCCAAGTCTTACCTGCTTGTCCTTTTTAATGCTCCAGCATAAACACAAGTATTTCCATTGGACAGTGAAATTCCCTATGAAGATGCACAAAGATACCCGATTGTTCCTGGCACATTTGGACTTTGAGATTGGCACAACAATCAAAGAGCCAGACTTATGAGGCCTTAACTACTGAATTGGACTTTATATTATGGCTCTCCTTCTGTGAAATGTACTCACCGAAGGAGAGACTGAAGTGAAGAGATGGCTACAAACCATTGCTCCTTCTTCACTCTAGATCTTCTACCTTGGGAGAAAAATCTTGGATAGTCCTCTTCCTCACAAGCACTTATGCTCTACTCTCTGAATTCCAGTTCTCTTTATCTTTCTGTCCAGTAAGATCACAGCTTTACGATTCTCCATGGGGATAAATAATAAATGTTTACTTATGAAGAGATCCATTCTAGTGCCTTATCAGTAGAGGCCAAATATATAGCCCTATTTTGCTTTCCATATATATTATTTACACATACACACACACAACATATATATGTATTAAGAAATACATGAAGAGATTATAAGAATGTGTGGTTCCAGTTATTGGCAACAGCCCGTCCAACCAACAATGCCCCTGTGTAGATGTATCGTTATCCTCAGTCTGAAATCCAGCTTTACATTTATAGGGGTATTCCCACCACTATATTTTAAAGCCTATGTACAAAGATACCTGATTGTTCCAGAGTTATGCAGCCTGCATGTCAGCTAAGAGATCCATCAACATGCAAAACATTAAGGGGGCAGAGAAAACCACACATATTCATCAATTAATACCTAGAAAGGCATTTTCTTGGCCACAGAAATGGGGTGAGATGATGAGAACTGACTTTTGCATTTGTTGAATCAATATTCTATTTTTGGCTATGCAGTGTGGAAATCTATGCCTTTTTTGGAGAAAACATTTATTGACACAAGCAATGTTTTAGCTGACAGAGGGACCAAGCAGCATTATTTTCCTTAGGGTAAATACAAGCTTATCCTTTGGAACAAAGAAAAGAAAGAAAAGAAAGCAGTCCACTGCCAATTCCCCTATATTTTCCACTGTAGGTACTGACCTCCACCCACAAAACTGTCAGTCTGGCATCTCTCACATACACTAACATCACATTAAAATATGCTGTCTCTTTTTAAAATAGCATCTTGAGCTATCTTTGCTTTTCATTCCAGCAAGCTGTCAGAAAGAACTGCATATCATACAAGAGCTTGTTTCAGCATTTTTCCTTCACAGCTTTTCAGTTTGCATGAAAAACTACTGCCTTTTAACATTTCAGAATGTAGACCACGTCTGACTAACAAATTTGATGCTTAACCTTGGCCCCTGCTTGTCCAATAATAATGTATTCTGTTCCATTCTTCAGCCTAAAGATGCGGAAGATCACTGGAGAGGTGAGAGCCACTGTATGCCCACTATATCCATTATCCATTCCCTTTCCAGCTCATTAAAAAGGGCAGAGGGAACCAGCTAAATGGGTTAAGGAACTTGTCAACACCTCCTTACCACAAGGCAAGGGTCCTAAAAGTGTAAAGGAGACAGTTGTGAAGCCTTTGTTGAAAGGAAAAAAAAAAAACCTTTCCTGATTCTCTGTAATGGATAACTATTGGCCAGTGTCCAATATTCAATTTTTGGGCAAGGTATCAACACATATGGTTAATAGGGCTGGGCGGTTTTGTTTCGTTAATTCGTAATTCGTTAATAATTCGTTAATTTTTTCAATTACAAAACGATAACGAACCATTCTGGAGCAATTATTAAAAAAAACAATTTTCAAAAACGTTTTGTAAATGCTTCGTATTTCGATATTGTATTCGTTTCGTTATTGTTTTGAGGTCGTTTCGTTATTATTTCCGCATGTCTGGGCCAGTTTTATGGTTTAATTAGTGAAAAAAAATTATAATATCACACCAACAGTCAACAACAGAGGGAGAGGGAAGCTTCAGAAGGTTTTGGAGGTTTTTTAGCGTATTTCGCGGTCGCGTCCGCCATTAACGAATCGATTCGTTATTGTTTCGGAAATCGATTCGTTAATTTTTTTACCATTTACGAAATTTTGTAAATATCGAACTTTTTAAAAGGAAAATTTTGTAATTATTTTAAATATCGAAACAAAAAAACCCCCCAAATACAAATCGATTTTAGAAACAAATTTTTCCGTTGTTACCCAGGCCTAATGGTTAACTCCCATCTCCAGAGATTCCTAAATGAAATGGATTATTTTAATCCATTTCAATTTGGTTTTAGGTCTGACTATGGGGTGGAAAAAGCCATTATCATCTTGCTAGAAAACCTATGCTAGACAAGGAAATGTGTTCCTGCTGGTTCTGCTGGATTTCTCAGCATTTTTTGATAATGGCAACCATGGTATGTTCTGGGCCACCTTGCTAGGACGACACTGCTTTACTCTGAGTGTGCTCCTTCTGACAAACCTAAAAGGTGGTGCTGGGGGACTCGTTTGACTACATGGCCATTGGTCTGTGGGATCCCTATGCTATTCAATGTCTACATGAAACTTCTTGGAGAGGTTACTCAGAGATTTAGAATTTGGTGACACCACTAAACTAATGAACCCAACTCTTTTTATCCTTTCCAGCCAAAAAATCAGTTTCTGTTCTAAACTATGATTGGGAACAACAACAATAACAACTTGTTTCCTGCCCTTCCTCACTGCTTGAGGTGAGATTCAACACAGTCAAAACACATCAACAAAAATGCATACAAGATACATATATCAAAACAAACTACTATACAATACACCAAAACACATGGTACAAAAATCAAAATGCACAGCAACAGAATGCAAATCCAAAACTCATGGTTCAAAACTGACTGAACAAGCCTGCTGAACAAAATGGGTCTTTAGCTGTGTTTTAAATTCTGATAGCTCATTCAGCTCTTGGAGCTTTTCCAGCAGATCATTCGACAGTCTTGGGGAGGCTGGGTGACAGTTTCCAGTCTGGTTCAGTTGGTTGGAGAAAGCATCTCCCAGAGGACCTCAATGTCCTCCAGGCGGATGGGAGAAGGCAAACCTGTACGTAACCTGGGTCCAAATCACTAATGGATTGGATGAGGGCAAATAAACCATAGGTCAACTAAAGCAAAACAGAAGTGGTCCTGGTCAGTAATAAGGCAGATCGGGAATATATAGATACAGCCTCAGCTGGATGGGATTATAGTCTGTCGAAGACTCAGGTTTACAGCTTGGGTGTAGTTATGAACTCAGCCTTGAACCCAAAGATCCAGGTTTCTGCAGTGTGCCTTTTGCACATTTAAACGGTAAGCACCAACTGCACCAATTCCTTGAAATCCCTAATCTAGTCATTGTGATGCATACCTTGGTGATGTCCCATATAGATTACACGCAGTCCCGAAGTTACAAACATCTGACTTACAAATGACTCCAAGTTAATAAGGGGGTGTGACAACAGGAAGTGAGAGAAATCTACTCCTAGGAAGGGAAATTCACTCCTGAAAGAGTTATCATGGGATAAAGGTGTCTCAAATGAAGCTGTCTCACCAATTCTTGTTTCCACAGCAAGCCATTTTTTTTTCAAAATGCAATGATCACAGGCACAGAAAGTAAGGTGAAATCTTCTGAACAGGGGCAACAGACAGCAAAACAAGTACCCTAACCCTAGCCCTTTCCCTTAATCCTTCCCTATGCAATCCAAAACTAAAAAATATATAGTTTTGGTTGGAGTTACACTTTAAAAAATGCCTGTTCAGACTTACATACAAATTCAACTTAAGAACAAACCTACAGACCCTATCTTGTTCATAACTTGGGGACTGTCAGTACTTTGGAAAGTAGAAGTTTTAAGAAATAACAAATTGTAAAATAGTTTACAATTATAATTTATTGCAGAAGGGGCAGCTTTACTGGACCAAAGTGCTAAATACTTTTTCCAAAGATCATACCTGCAGGTCACACCACCATCGCCTTACAAAATAGGAAGTCACCAGAGATCAACTACTAATTTCAAAAAAACCTTGCTCTTCATTAAACCAAAGTGTAATGAGGAGTTATGCACCTTGTCATGAACTCTTTCATGAGCATAAATTTCTATTTTTTATATTTTAAAAATGGTATTGATTTTTGAAGTGTTTTTGTTTGTTTTGGGGAGTGCTGGACTCCAGGACAGCAAAAGCTCATCTAAAGCCAGTCTTTCAGCTTACTGCTTCCTGAACTGTAGGTCCCAATGCCAAATGGGGTCCCCTTTGCTCAATTTTGAGACTGCAAAAAATTGGACAACAGTAAAAGTTGTTTGAATGCCACAAATCAATTCGCAACGAAGTGCAGTGTTTATATGGGTTCTGCAAAAAATACTTCAACTGTACTTCATGAAAAGAAAAACCAACCTATTTGGCAAGCCTTGAAAATAGTAGTTTATTGTCAGTATTGATGGTTTTTATAGTAGAGTTAAAGGTTTTCCCTTGGCATTACATTCAGTCGTGTCTGACTCTGGGGGTTGGTGCTTATCTCCATTTCTAAGCCGAAGAGTCAGCACTGTCTGTAGACATCGTCAAGGTCATGTGGCCGGCATGATTGCATGGAGCGCCGTTACCTTCCCGCCAGAGTGGTACCTATTTATCTGCTCACATTTGCATGTTTTTGAACTGGTTGGCAGAACCTGGGGCTAACAGCGTGAGCTCACTCCGCTCCCCGGATTTGAACCGGCGACCTTTCGGTCACCAAGTTCAGCAGCTCAGAGGTTTAACCCACTGCACCATCGGGGGCTCCAATGTTGGTTTTTGTACCTATTTTATATTCCTGAACATCTGGGGACACATAA